TTTTAAAATTAGTCTATAACGGGAATTGTCTATTGTCTAACTGAAAAATATAAGGAGAAATTCGACGTTTTGAGCGAAGGCCCTTTCTTCTAGCTTGTATTTTTCACGTAGTTGCGTCCATACCAACGAAAGCTTGTTAAACAGGTTTAGCAAGAAAAGGAAAGAAAATGAACATTTTTTATGCTTCTGAAAGCCAATCATCCCCCCCATTTAGGGAAATATGTAGCTTCGAGAAGGCTAATTAAACAATAAATTGTAAACTTAATTAAGAGAATAATTACGGGAATCACTCAGTATTTTAAGAAAATACAAAATAACAGTAACCCCGAATAACATTTTGAGTCATAGTTTGTAGTCATCCTCAGGATTAATAATCATTAATCCTGAGGATGACTACAGACTAGTCGAAACGTCGATTAAAAATCAAAATGTTATTCAGAGTTACTGTTATTTTGTATTTTCTTAATATTAAGAGAGTTATGCGAAATATGAAAACAGTCGATCATTGACATTGGACCTTGTCTTTTACCAGGAATCACATACAATTCTTTTAACAGGAATCACATGCAATTCCGCTTTTACTAGGAATCACATGCAATTATTTTCAGTACCAGGAATTGCAGGAATTAGTATATGCACAAACAGATTTATCACAAAGTGAAACTCACATCTATGACTATGCCAAAAATATGTAGACTATAGTAAATCACATCAAATCAAGGAATATTTTGTCAGTGATCGGTATAGATGCATGCAGCTGGTGTAAACACTATGCCAGTGTTAACACCGGAATGTAAGTCAACACTTTGCAAAGTCTTCATTATACACTGCTAATTTACTGGCACCAACTTGTCACTTGGTACACTACGAGAGTAAACTTACACCGGTCTCCGAAAGTCGTTTTATACTGCTTTGGTGTAAAGCACCTTAAAATTGCCTTTGTGTGGACACCAACTTGGTGTAAATCCAGACTACGAGTACAAATTAATACCTAGTTTTATATAGCTCCTATAACTCATATAAAAAAAGGTTTAAATCATTCTTTTCAGAAAAGGCATAAATGGATATTCAGTGCCAGTGGTAGTTTACATATATAGTTATAAAACCTACATATACTGCAGGCTACCAAGGTATGTAGGTAGGTATGAAGAAGGACTATAAATACGGGAAATGTTTGCGATAAAACGTTAAGAAGTGAAGATTAGTTAGTCTAGAGGCCTGATTTTAGGATTACGACTTTCATTTCTATAGCACAAATTTACATGTGGGTTTATCATCAAATAGGCTTTACATCAAGTATTATACGCTTACCTAATTATCTAGCCTATATAGACTACATTACCTTTACAACAACTGTGATACTACTTTCTTAACTGTGTTTATCCTAACCCACCCTGTCAACATTAAAACCGGAGCACCCTGAGGAAACCCCACGACAGAGCGTTGACTGACTCTTTTCACATGAGTTCGTATAGAGAGAATTGAACCCAGGATCTCAGAGGTGAAAGGCGCTTGCCCTGACAACTACGCCACCGAAGCCCCATATTGAAGGAATTTTAAAAGAGGCATATAGAGTTAACGTTACTTTGAATACGATCATCTAGACTATTCCAGCTCACAGCTCCTCTGTAACGAAAACTTCTCTTGCGGAACTAGTTGCCGGTTTTGCCTTTTGGGCTTATCTAACGAAATATTTATACTGTATGGTTAATTGTTACGCAAATAACGAGGATTACTTGCCAATGCCTCAAACATGCATATAATGTAGTTACTTGTGTTTAGAAACCAAAATTCGTTTGGTCGGAAAGGGGTATATTACTGTCAAATAATATTTAATCCAATTACTGACCTTTATTTTTTATGCTTTTGTCACACTTTTTTCACACTGTTCAGACACAGCTTTTCGCCAGTTTCCACAATTAGAGTGCGGATGAATTATAGGATATACTCCAATGCTTAGCTCGCCTCACACCTTAGACAGTTCTGTATGTATAGTGTAATGTACACAGGGTATAAAGTATATGTTTTTGAGAACTGATCAAAAGATTGCATTTTGAATGGTAAATTACCTACTTAGTTTATTCAGCCATCCCCGCGCTTTCAAATAAAACGAAAAGACATATTATTAATTTAAATGCCTCGCATTACTAGGAATCACTGACATTGTAAAAAATCGATCGAATTAAAACCTCCCACTGCATGCCAATGGCTGACAAAGAATAACCTTGCAAACAAATAAGAATTCTAAAATCCCCTTCGGGCTTCGGCTTCGCTTTCCAGCAATTTTCCTATCGATATCCTGGCCCTTCGTACGAATCGTCAATGTTCAATGGACTTGGATTACTTACCACGCGTTACGACGCGATTAAAACGTGATAGCGAAGATCTGCGCGTGTTGCTGGGAAGGGCTAGAAATATCCGCGCAGATAATGAATTCAGTTTATACGAAGTACAGACAGACCTCTACGACTGGCATAAACAAATTAAAGAAACTGACAGGATTGTTACCGGATGTCATGACTCTGTTATTTATGAAACAGCAGAAATCATGTCCAGAAAACTAAGGTTTGGAAACCTGATTGGGAAGGATAGCCATTTAATTAGGCAATGCGAAGAGAGTGAACACCAAGCTCAAGACGTTTTAGACAAGGCAAATCGAGAATATCTTAAATGGGAAGACCTTCACAGGAAAGCTAAGGATGATTTACAAAAAGCCACAGAGAATCGCCGTCAATACGATGATAGTGAAAGGACGTACTTGTTAGCCATTTCTGCGTGTTTTTGCATCGCTTTAAACCGTTTCGACGTTATAAATGCACGGGAACGAGTCACGCAATGTCAAAACAAAGTAAAGAGACTTAAAACTCAAGCTAGATTCAGCTCGAAATAGAAGAAATATAGCAAATTCAGAATTTCAACGAATAAGAAACATACTAAATGATAAAGAGAGAGAACTAGAGTCAAACCAATCTGCACATAATGCACTAGAACAGAAACTTAAAACGTTGACGCACGAAAATAAACTATTAAAGGCAGCTGGTCACGAAGTGAAAGAGATTTGCACAAAAAGCCAAAATATTGTGGAGAGACTGAATGAACTCGATTCCTTTGATGAAATAGCACCTTCTGTTAATGATATTTTACTTCAACTAGATGATGTAATAAAATTATATTGACCCGGTAGCGCATGAATAAATATACCGTATGTTTTTTTTCTGTGTTGGTGCAGTGTACTCAGGTGAATATGATATTTGTGGTGTTACTCGAAGTATATATCCACACCGGGCGAGCTTGAAAAATATGCCCGGCCACGGTGGGATTCGAACCTACGACCTTTGGAATACTAGCCCAAATTCTGTTCCGAA